CATCCTCCACATTACTATTAAATAAATAAATGTGAATGTCTTTTATTTTGTTTTAGGGTTTTTTTCAACTTGTCATCACACCTTTGGTTATTAAGTTACATAAAAAATAAGGAAAATAATTAGTACACACTCATCAATGTCCACTAGCTAGTTTAGCCATTAAAATCTATAGTTTTAAGTTCTTTCGTTATTTAATTTAAATTCAAAAATAATAATTTTTAATGAATATGTTTTGAAATGTGTTAAATTGAGGGTATTTGTATTAATATACAAAAATAAAGATTAACTTTAATTTTATCAATTAATTGTTAAAATCATAGATGACATTAGTATTAAAATTAATATCACTTTTGTATAATTTTTTATTGGATTTTTTAACTTGTGCTTGTACTTATTGCATATTTTTATTAGTATTAATATAAACAAAAAAGAAGCTTATATTAATTTTACTAATTGTCTAATTAAAATGTTCATGGCTGCAAACATGGGTTTTAAAATTTAATGCTAAGTTTTTATATTTTCATGTAAATTAATATATAAAAAATGCATTTAAACACCTTTTTTTTTTCGGCAAGCAATTAAGATACTCTTAACCTGTGCCTTGGATAAACCCCTTTTTATTCTTCATCAATGCAATTTTAGTAGAACTAATTTTTAATTTAGAGTGTTTAAATTTTATTGTCCATTTTTTCTTTTTATAAGATGTCATTTAATTAATGTTCTTATTCTTATTTTACTCTTATTTTAAAAAAATAATTACAACATATATTAAATAAAAAGGTTTATTTAAGTAGTGATTAATTAGAGATAAATATTAAATTTTATCAATCAATTATTATATCTTTATTTTATTAGACAAAAAAAAGGCCTACGAAAGGTGAATGGAAGGACTATTATTTTTTTTCAAAAAGTAAAAAAATTGAAAATGATTGATATATACTTAGTTTAATATATTTTCTAACACTTGTTTAATTTAACTATTAAAATATAATATAAGTAAAAGTTTGTCTGCTTTTAATTTCAAACAAAAAAAAAATAATTTTTTAATAAATATATTGTACAGGGTATTGAACTAAAATGCATACTAATCAACGTCTAAAAAGATTTCATTTATAGAATACAAGAGGTACACAATCCCATTCACAATCATAGGACAAGTTCTTGATATATATTCATTCATTTTAATTCCCCTGCCACTAACAATGATAGTAGGACTTAGGCCTAACAAACAAGTGGGTTGGGTTGGGTCTGGGTTGGATCAACTTGGATAACAGGTTATATAAATTGAGTTGTAAATGGGTTGTGAGTTGGTAAAAGCTAACTTTAACCTGACTTTAATGGTTTATAGGTCAACCCATAGGTTTACCTCATTTCTATTTTCAATAATTAATTTTTTTAGTTTTATTTTATTAAAATAAAATTATGATCATCTAAATCTAATTAAAATTTAAAAGTTCCAAAATACTATAACAATAAGTTAATTAATAATATTAAATTTAAAATATTTAAATCTAAAATATACCAAGATTCTCCTGTATCTAAAATCTAAAATTCAATTTATCAACTTAGGTACTTATAACCAAGAGAAGGTAAGAATGTTTTCTGGGATTCACGCAGCACACTAAAAACCATGATATTAACATTTTTCCTTCTCAGCAAATAAATCTATTTCCGTAATATGAGAGCAGTTCCAGAATGTGAAAAATTAAAAATAGGAAAACAAATATGAAAAATTCGTACTTAAACAAATTCTATTAAAGACTTCTTTAAAAGGAAATGAACTAAACTATATAGAATTCAAGAATCGTTCAATTATAATTATTAATAGGAAAATTAATTAA